TTATTAGCAAATAAAATTATAAAAAAATTATCGACCATTATAAATTTACAATAAAATTAAAAATAAAAAATATTTCAAAATAGTTATTATAACCTAAAAATATGTTTTTCAATCATGAGCCCTATATATATATATATATATATATATATGTGCGTGTGCGTGTGTGTATATGTGTGTGTGTGTGTGTGTGTACGCATGCATGTGTGTGTGTATATATACATACACACATACACATGAATATACACACACACACACACACACACACACACACACACACACACAAACATGTGTGTGTGTGTGAAGGAAAAAAAAAAAAAAGGAAAGAATGCCAACCTAGGCACCAAGGCTTGGATATATGAAAAAAGAAAGGCTAGGCGGCCAAGGCCTAGTGCTCGCGTGCCCAAGAGCCGAGCCTTGGCTACGGCCAACCCAAGCAGAAAGAAGGAAAAAAAATTGAATAAAAGAAAACAAAAAAAATTGAGGTATTGTTCGTTACTCGTTCACTTACCGTTGACGGACTCCAATTCTTTTAGTTTCGTTAGATATGTCAAAGCCTTAATATAATAAATTGTCTTAAACCATTGAACCATTATACCTTGTATTAAAACCAAAAATACCAACCACGTGACCTAATCCAACTTCTTTTAGACAATTCACTAAAATTCTTTTAGCACTTATATTGCCATATGCTACATTCTAAATTTTCATAAACATTTCTCAAAATCCACCCTTAAACTTTTGCCGAGAGCGGCACCACTCTTTATGTTTATATAAGTGAGGCTTCTATTAAGCTCCGAATATATTGCTCATGTTTTGTAGCTTAAGTCTCATTAAGAGGTATAACTCCTCTTTTAAAATTTTTTAGTACTAGATAACTTAAAATGATGATATATATAGAATATTTTAGTAGTTTAACGTAAACTTATTAACAACTTCTTTTTATCTATTGCACTTTTAACTAGTGATAATACTTGAGAAAAATGGGGTTTCTATTACCGATGACTCTAGGAAAAAGGTCTCAAACTCATTCCAATTGAAGTTTTCCTTACTAAATCCTTAGTAAACCGTTTTGTAAATGGATTTGCCAAGTTGTTACTTGTTCTTATATATATGATTGTAATAATTTCTTCAAGAATTAATTATTTGACATATTCATGTCTCAAGCATATATGTCTAGATTTCTTATTACATACCTTACTAAAAGCCCTACACATGATAGCTTCGTTATCACATAACAATAAAATAGTTTGGCATCGAAAGTGGCCATAACTATATTTCTAGCAATAAATTCCTTCGCCATTATGCCTCATTTCATGTGTCTACTAGTGCAACAAGCTCATATTTATAATGGAATGAGTTATACATATTAGTTTCCTAAGACCTCATGAAATAGCTCATCTATCAAGAGTAAATATCCAAGTAGACGTAGACTTATTATCGGTAGCATTTGTTATCCAACTAGCATCGGCATATCACTCTAATATCGATGGATAACGGTCATAGACTATATCAATCTCAAAATTCTTTTAAGATATTCAAAGACTCGGAAATTGCTTTCCAATGATCAACACTAGGATTACTAGTATACCTTGAAAGCTTGCAAATTGCAAAGGAAATATTTGGTCTAGTGCAATGCATGTACATTAAACTACCAATTACACTAGCATACTCAATTTATGCAATTTCTTTTCTAGAATTTTTTTTATTAAGTTATGTGAACTTAAATATAGGGTGCTTAACCCTTTAATTCCTAAATGTTGATTCTTATTTATGTTTTTCTCAATATAATGCAATGGACACAAAGCATAACCTCCACTATTTTTCTTCACTTTGATGTCCAAGATAGTATCTACCCTTCTTAGATCTTTTATCTTAAACTATAATTACTAGTGTACCTTGAAAGCTTGCAAACCGCAAAGGAAATATTTGGTCTAGTATAATACATGTATATTAAACTATCAATTATACTAGCATACCCAGTTTGTGCAATTACTATTTTAGAATTTTCTATTAAGTTCTAGAAACTTTAATATAGAGTGCTTACCTCTTTAATTTCTAAATGTTGATTCTTATTTATGTTTTTCTCAATGTAATGTGATGGACACAAAGCATAAACTCCACTATTTTTCTTCACTTTGATGTCCAAGATAATATCTACCTTTCTTAGATCTTTCATCTTAAATTGTAAGGATAAGTATTTCTTTGTTTCATTCATACCATTGATGTTTATCCCAAATATAAGCATATCATCAACAGGTAAGCATACAATGACACCATAGTCTTTTGTTAATTTAGAATAAATACACTTATCTGTATTATTATGCTTAAATTCATAAGACAATATCACATAATCAATTTTTTTATGCCATTATTTCATTGGTTGTTTCAAAGCATATAATAATTTAATCAACTTACATACTTTTTTTTCATTTCCAGGTAATACGAACCCTTTGGGTTGTTCCATATATACTTCTTTAACTAAGTCACCATTTAAGAAAGCTATTTTAATATTCATTTGATGCACAATCAAATTATGCATGAAGTTAGAGCAAATAGTACTCTAACATATGTTATCCTAGCCACTAGTGCATACATGTCAAAATAATCAATACCTTCCTTTTACCTAAATCCTTTTAACACTAATCTAGTCTTAAACGTTTATTTAGATCCATCAGTATTGTACTTTCTATAAAATGATCATTTTCAACCTATAGGCTTTGAACTAGAAGGAAAATCTATCAACACCCAAGTATTATTAGATAAAATTGAATTTATTTCATTATTGATTGCCTCTTTTGAGAATGCTACACCTCTTGATGCCATAACTTTTCTATAGGTTTTAGGATCGTTTTCTATGTTTAATAAAATCAGTGTTTTATTAAGTACAAATTTCAATCACCTTCAACTGTAAGAGAAAGGTTAGCGAGGACTTAATTATATGCTTGAATGCTTATTGGAATTCCACTATCCAAGATTCTTTGCTAGATTCATTCAAAGTTAATTTTTCATCAATAACGAGTACCACGTAATTCACACTCTCTATATTAAAAAAAAATTCATCTATACGAAGGATCAAATTTATGAGGTTTAAACTTTTTAGGTTTACCCTTAAAAAATAGTAAAATAGTGTTCCTAATAGAAATTCCATTAGTATAAACCAATAACAATCCCAAGCATACAAATCCACTAATGCAGCGATCATTCAATTAGACCATTGCATTCATCTATTTAATGCACTTCACTTTCTTTTGTTTTTAAATTAACCAATACAAATTATTTATTTAGAGAGCTTAAATGAAACCTTTCATGATAGGACATATTCTATTTAGTTTTGTTGATGGATCAAACCATTATCCTATTCCTCATCATAAAGAAGGAGAATAAACCTATTCCTCAACCTAATCTTACATATGCCCTTCATATATGTTGTGGGTTCTTTTGTTCCAATCTTTTTTAAAAGGATTTTAAAATAAAAGATAAGATAATACGTAAATTTTAAAATGAACTTTCATTTATTGATGAGAAATGATGCTTACAGATTGAAAATTTTCCTCTAACTATGATATTTGCATAGGAATTTAGTTCTTGAAAATCATAACATGAGTTACAATGATAATATAGTAATAGAGAACAAATCTAATAGCATACTCGATTACAACCAACGAATTATTCTATAATCTACTACTTAATAAATTTCGAAGTGTTAAAACTTGAGATAGTACTTGCTTTCTACAAGTGTTATTTAGTTAATTGTTTATTTTTATGTGAGTTTTTTTTCCTTTATTGTAGTTGATATTTATAAGCTCTTGACACCTCCATGATCTTTTTTAGTGCTCTATGATCCTTGGTAGTACTCCATGTTATGTTATGGCTTCTTATTCTTGTGTTACAATACTCTATTATCTTGATCATATCCTATTTTTTCCTATAATTACTCAATTTTTTCCTAGCAATTAACAAGTATAGTTCATGTAGCTATCTTGTTATAGCTAACACATCTTCTTATTAGGAACTCTAAGTGATGGGTATAACATTTGCTTTCATTCTTTCCATATGTAAGTGTTTACCTCACATATGGATATAAATCTTATTATGAACTTTTTTGTTCTCTAATGTTCCCCCGATCTTTCTTTTCTTTTCTTTTCTTTTTTTTTTTGGAATACACCTTTTTTTTCATCAAATCTAAAATCCTTTTTGAATGAATGGATGAAACTCATGTGCTCTTATACATATCTTAGATGCCTTCCAAATAAAAAACATAACCATAACTTGATCATAGTAAGAGATTAAAGATATCTCATAAATATTAAACTTTAAGATCAATCAAATGAATATGGCTTTCAATTCATGTTACCCTAACAACCAACTAGGAGGACAATTCTCATGGATGAATAAATATAGTCATATGCCCTCTTATTGGTTGTTTTCCATCTAATTTATTATAGATATTGAAAAACATGGTAGGATTTTTATTTGGATCTATATTTTTGGATGAATCTAGCCTTGCAATACTATTATCTTGATCATTCATTATGATTCCAAGGCCCAAATATAGAATTTTCTTTGAAGCCTAATGGTGATTCTTTAAATTTAAAGCTTTGATCATTAATCGATTTCATAATCCGAATCTAAATTTTGCTTAAGATCTAGAATGCATTTATGTTTGTAAGGTTTTGATCATAATTATTCATAGTGACCTCAAGATTTAAGTTAAAATTCATGTTGTAAGCCTATTGTATCATATATTTATAAGCATGTCTTGTAGCCCCCAAAATGTATTTAAATCGAGTTGTAAGGGTCAATGGTTTGCTCTTTTAAGTCTTTCCTTTATAGTTTTACAATTATGGTTTTTGATCTCTATAGAATTGCAATTGTAGCTTTTAGTCCTTGTAAAGTTTGTACCTACATACCTATAATTCTAGCTTCCAATCATTGTAAAGTTTGTATCTACAAACTTACAACTAGAGCTTTCAACTCTTGCATAATCGGTGTTTATAAACCCGTGATTGGAGCTTCCAATCCATGTAGAATCAATAATGGTAAACTTGTGATTAGAGCTTCCAACCCTTGTAGAATTAATGCCCGTAAACTTAGAGCTTCCAACGCTTGTAAAATTAATACATATAGACTTATAATTAGAGCTTCTAATTTATTTAGAATCGATGTCCGCAAACTTGTAATTGGAGCTTCTAATTTCTATAAAGTATGTATTCATAGACTTGTAATTAGAGCTTCAAATCCCTATAGAATCACTGAATGTATGCTTGTAATTAGAGCTTCCAACCCTTACAAAATTAGTACTCGTAGACTTGTAATTAGAGCTTCTAACTCCCGAAGATTCAGTACTTGTAGACTTGTAATTGGAACTTTCAATCCTTGTAGAGTTTGTATCTACGTACTTATAATTGGAGCTTCCAACCTCTACGAATCGATGCTTGAAGACTTGTGATTGAAGCTTTAAACCCTTATAGAATCACCGCTTACAAACTTATGATCGGAGCTTTTAATCCTTATAGAGTCTACATCCGTAGACTTGTAATTAGACTTTCCCTCCTATAGAATTGTTGTTCGTAAACTTGTGATTAGAGCTTCCAACCTTTGCGGAATTAGTGTCTATAAATTTATGATTAGGACTTCCAATCCCCGCAGAATCGGTGCATGTAGACTTGTGATTGGAGCTTTTAACCCCTACGGAATTAGTGTCTATAAATTTATGATTAGGACTTCCAATCCCCGCAGAATCGGTGCATGTAGACTTGTGATTGGAGCTTTTAACCCCTACAAAATTAGTGTCTCGAGACTTGTAATTAGATTTTCCAATTCTTATAGAATTAATATTTAGATCCATAAAGGGGTTTTTTTTTTTTTTTTTTTATGGAATGACTAACGTCTCTAATAAATTGAAGTCTTTGTGTAAGGGGTTTAGATTTAAATGATCAATTTTTCCATCATAACCTCATACGTTTTTATAGAAGTAACTATATGTCTTCGCATGTAGAGTTGTCTTGCTGAAACCCAACATTAATTTCTTGTAGTGATTTTTTATATCTTTTATTTTCAGCATATGTTGTTTTTCTAATTTCTAGAAAAAAAGCCTTATACTTTATATCTATTTCTCTATAGGCCTTTCTCAAGAGCTTAGGAATATCATGAACTTTTTTAGTTCAATTCCCTTTATTATCCATAATTTAACATCTTATAGAATGATTCTTTTCCTCTATCATGAATTTGATTCTCATTACTACAATCCATTTTAGATAGTTGCCTAGATAAGGAGTCTCAAAAGTTGACATTTTTTGAAGTGACTCTTTTCTTCCATTAAAGCCTTGATAATTTGGTGTCACATTAAAAATATGATTGACACTTCCACTCGTTGTTGCTAGAATTATTATAGGTTCTTTTGTGCTTGTCTCAATTAAGAAGACTTTGAAATAAAAGATAAAATAATACATAAAGTTTAAAAGGAATTTTCATATATTGATGAGAAAGAATGCTTACACACCACAAGAAAAACATTTTTTAGCGACAATCAGAAAACGGTTGCTAATTACTAAAATTAGCAACGATTTTACCGATTTTATCAACGATCTATATATCCGTTGCTACTTTGAAAGGTTAACCGTTTTAGCGACGACTTCCATGAAAAATAAACCGTTGCAAATTTAACAACGCTTCAACCCGTCGGTAAACCGTTGCTAAGGAGATAATTGGGTTTAGCAACGGTCACAACCCGTTTCTAAATCGTTGCTAAAGATTATTTAATATTTTTGCAACATTTTTCTATGAAAAACCGTTGTAAAAAAATTAAACATTTAGTGAAGGCCTTGGACCGTCCTTAATCCGTTCCCAATTAGGCTCAAGCCGAAACGAAGGCAAATACCCCATATTAGCAACGGTTTGATATCCTAAAACCGTTGCAAAAATATTCGATTTAGCGACGGTTATGGACCGTCGCTAAACCGTTGGTAGCTAGCTTAGCGACGGCCTAAACCATCGCTAAACCATTTCTAATGTAATTAAATTTATGTTTTGCAATGGTTTTGCAAAAATAACCATTGCAAACAGTACAATTAGCGATGGTAAACCGTCGATAAAAGAAAACGATTGGTGGGAAACGATCAAATTTAATTTCAAATTTAATTTTAGCGACGAATTAGATCGTCGCTAAAAACTTTACCTTTTAAAAGTTTCACTCGAACGAAAATCCGGAATTCTCTCTTCTTCTCCTCCGACAACGACTTTATCCGTCGTTTTTTTGCTCCAAACTTCTCCTCTCTTTCCTCAAAGCTTTTGTATCCTAAAAATCTTCGTCTTTCTTCCCTCTTTTCCTCCTCCTTTCAATCTTTCTCTCTACCGTGTAACCTACCGTTTTTCGATGACCATACTTCGGCGAGGTCTCACCGATGATAGCTGCCCCCTCTCATCCTTCTCTTGGTGACAGGTCCACCTAAATCTAATCCCTCCTTTCAATTTTTAATTTTTTCAGTTATTTATTTAAGTAAAATAATTTTTTGAATTACTTATTATTGTTAGTTTATTTATTGAATTGATTGTTTATTGCATGTGTTTTTTTTTAATTTGATTATTTAATTAAAATTTATTTGATGTGTTATTTTAGTGTAAATTGTGATAGTTAATTGAAATGTTTAATTGTTAATTTAATATTAATTGTTAATTGTTATATTAATGTTGTTGTTAATTCTTGATTAATTGAATATTATTGTTAATTTTTAAAATTATTGTTATTTTTATTTTTAGTTGTTGATTGAATTAATTTGATTGTTAATTGTGAATTTACTTACCTTAATTTATTGTTAATTTTTTTAGTTAGAAAATATAATTGTTATATTTTATTTTATGTTGTTATTTTAATTGTTATTGTTATTGTTATTAGTGTAGTTGCTAATTGTTAATTTACTTAAGTGATTAAAAATTTATTGAAAACATTATTAAGTTTATTTATTACTAGTTCATTAAGTTAAAGCGTTAGGTAAGTATGAAATTAGTCAATAAATTAAATATTAATTAAATCGTAATATATTATTTTTTGTTGATTAAATATTAAACTTACATATTTAGTTATTCATGTAGTTAAATAGATAAGTAATTACAATATTAATTAAGAAAAAAATATAGCATTTTTTTGAAATTATTTTCAATAGATAAAAAAATAAGTTATGACAATTATGTTAAATGCATATTAATTAATTTTAAAAATAAGTCCTATTAAACAGATTAATATATACTTGTTGAATATAGTTTTATTACATTATTAAAAAAATTTTAGTTTTTTTCGAAAGTATATTAAATAGATAAAAAATAAAGTTATTAGAAATATTTGTAATTGTTAGTAATTAAATAAATAATTAAGTTGTATTTAAAAATTTGATATAAACTTAGCTTGTTTATTTAAAAAATAACTTGTGTGTAACAAAAAAATATTTGAGACTTAGTAATAAAGTGTTTTAAGTAATTACAAAAATAATTAATACAATTACTTGATTACTATTTTATTTAAAATGAATTCGGATTACTCTTGGATTGACTTTAGATTAACCGGTGGATTATTAAATGAGCGTTTTGTAGAAGGGGTTAATGAATTTATTAATTTTACGGTTAGTCATCCACGAGTGCATGGATGAAAATAAGATACGATGTCCATGTAAACAAAAAAAATATCAAAATCGTAGTTATGAAAACCATGATACTCGTTAAGTATCATTTGCCGAGATATGGGTTTGTGTCCGGGTATTATGTGTGGAGACGTCACGGAGAGCATGACTTAGCAATTAATGACAATTCATTAAATAATGCTGAACAAGAATAAATATGTGATGATTGTCAAGTTAATCGATACCACACAATGGTGATGGATGCGACTGGTCCATCTTTTAATCCGTCTAATACGGACGAAAGCCCAAACCCTTCCACACAAGCATTTTATGATTTATTAGATGCATCGAATAGAGAAATATGGCTCGGGTCGGAAAACCATTCGCAGTTATCCGCAATGTCTCGTTTGTTGCATCTTAAGTCCGAGCATCATTTTTCGGAGAGGTGTTACGACGATTTATGTCAACTTATGAAAGAATTAATGTCTCTCGATAACCGCATGCCGAAGACTTTTATAGAAAAAAAGGGTAGAAATGATGGGTTTACCTGTTGAAAAGATTCACCGTTGCATTAATGGTTGCATGATTTATTGGGGTTAGGATAGCGAGAGAATCACTTGTAAAATATATGATCATCCTCGATATCGAAATCCTAGGCGAGGGTCGAATAGAAAAACATTTTTTTCCTACAAAAAAATGTATTATTTTTTGATAACCCCACGATTACAAAGGATGTATGCATCAAATGCCTCCTCTAATGACATGACATGACATGCGCAACATGTGTGTGAGCCTATCGTCATGCGTCATTGTTCGGACTCCTTCGCATGGCGACATTTTTACCAAACACATCCTTCTTTTGCATCAAAAATTAGGAATGTTAGATTAGGTGTTTGGACCGATGGGTTTCAACCATTTAGTATGTCCGGACAATAATATTCTTCATGGTTTGTCATTATAACGACTTATAATTTACCATCATGGAAATGTATGAAATAAGAATATATGTTCTTAACCGTTATTATCCCCGGTCTTAAAAAGCCTAAAATCAATTTAGACGTATACTTGCAACCCTTAATTAAAGAGTTGATAGATTTATATGAAGTGGGTGCCCTTACTTATGATGTCTCTCGTAAAAATAATTTTCGGATGAGAGCCGTCGTCATGTGGACAATTAATGACTTTCCCGCATATTCAATGTTATCGGGTTGGAGTACTATGGGTAAGACAACATGCCCGTATTGTATGGAAAATTATGATGCTTTCACCCTATGAAACGGTAGGAAAACTTCATGGTTTGATTACCATCGAAAGTTTCTCCCACTAAGCCATCCGTTCGTGCGAAATAGGATGCGTTCAAGCGAAATTCAGCTTGTTACGTACATTGCTCCCCGATTAAGTCTAAAATTGAAATTTTACAAGAATTAAACAATTGAGAGTTGCTAAAAGTAATGGAAGAGGGATCCGATAAGTATAATAATAATATATCTAAATATTATGATTGGAAAAAACGTAGTATATTTTGGGACCTACCTTATTGAAGTTCTAATCTAATACGTCATAATTTAGATGTTATGCACATTG